CTTGTTGTTATTTTATATTTTTCCCCCAGCTTAGGTTTTTAAAAAGCCACAAAGTTCAGGCAAAGTGTTGCAGTGTTTTGGGGTGTTTTTTTTTTTTTAAATCCCCTGTTGTTCCTGAATGTAAAGTTTTAGACAAAATATTCCTTGCTTGTCCAAAAAAGGAAAAAGAAGAAGAAATAAAAATTCTATTGTTCTGACAGTAAATAAATTGTAGTGCTTTAAATTGATTTATTAAAAAAAATAAAATATAAACTATACAAGGGCACCTTTAGTAGATGCTGAATAAGTTAAATAAATAAGTTATATTATGAAGGCATTTACGTGCCATAATAATTAAAAGGTATGCCTCACTATTTTTTTTCTTTTATCTTTTAAGTGAGATGAAAAGGAGAAATTAATTTAAATAACTTAAGGGTTGATCATTTTATAAAGCATTGAGACTGATTAAAATATATAAAATACCTCAGTTTGGGGAAAGGGATGTGAGAGATTTTTTTTTCCTTAGTAACTTTATTACTGTTGTTGCTATTATTGTTTTGGTAACCTGAAACTGTAACAGAATCTGGAAAATTTACCGATATTCCCTGTTATCCCCAAATAAAATGTCTGAGCTAACTTTAAATTTGCATCTAGGATGCACTACAATTCTAGGTTTATTAAATAAGCAAAAATTAACTCTAGCAAATAAAAGGCAGACTCCTGAAAGATACCAATGAACAGGCCCATTGAAATTTGAGACATGTTTACTACAACATCCATCCATTTCAATGGCACATGCTCAGAAGCAAATCCAGGTGAATTGCAACTACAATAAACAAGAATTAAAAACACCAAAATCAATCAATTAGACCCCATCCCTGTAGTTTTAGCTCCAGCTAAACTCATATTTATAGTATAAGATGGTAGATAGACTGAGTTTGCATCTCAGGATCATCTATGGAATGAATGCTTAACCAGAGCTAAGACATCAGATTTGAATCCCCACCTAATTAGAATAAATCTCAGAACTGATCAACAATACAATGGGTTATAGCCCAAACATATCAGGATAAAACTAAAGGCTTTGTAGTTAACCAGCAAAACATTTAAAGAATAACAAAGAAAAAAAAATTCCCATAATAAATATAGACTAGGCCAAGTGTCATCCAGAAAGATCACAAAATATTTAAATTTGCTGACAAGCAAGAAAGAAGCTGCAGAATTTTTGCCCCCCCCCCATTGCTATGTCATTTCTACATCTTGTCTTTTTGCTTGTTTCTTGGTTTGGTTTTGGGTTTAAAAAGAAAAAAGAAAAGGAGCTTGTATTCCCATAGATCGGTCTGAGCTTTACATTTTGCTGGTTTTGTCCTTCGTAGGTCTTTGGATTTAGCTTTAGTTAAGAGAGATCGAGAATAAAGCTATTCAACCGAAGTAATCAAGCACATTCTTTGTTCCTCCACAGATGATTAAACAATATCCAAGGTTTCTTGAAAGTTGAATTCATCTTGGATGTGCCCATGAAAAATAACTCCAAGTATAAAGGTAAAAAGAGATGTTGGGATACTATTACACCATAATTCCTTTGAGAAAGAGAGCATATAAAATAGGCAGTACTCAAGGCAGGCAGACAGATGCTTAAATCAATACAGACACATAGCATGCTTAAAATACCATCACCGTCTCCTAAAATCCCATTTGTACTTGGCTATTGCTTGAGTTCCTGCCTGGAAAAACCATAGTTAGATAACACTGACAAAGAAAGCAGCCACACCAGACAATATCTGACCAGGACAAGGTAATGCAAAATAATTCCAGATTAGGGACAGATGAAGCTGTTTGGATTGTGTTGTAATGGATAGAGAGAGGATGAATAACTGGGAAAGACTCCACGTGGGTTAGAAAGAGCTGTCTAAATTGTGATTACAACAGGATGTCAAATTGTAATACTTTTCATATATCATTAAAAAGAATATGCCTCTGGACTGAATAAACAGAGCCTAGCTCTCAGTTTCTAACAAGGATCTGCAATGGGTTTATTTTGTATTTCCTTCAACATTACCATTGATGGCTCAGATATAAGATCACCATTTCTCTAGAGCAGTGTCTCTCAACCTCAGCAACTTTAAACAATTGCAATAGTATTTAATCTTATATACCGCTCCATGGTGCTTTACAGCACTCTCCGAGCAGTTTATAAAGTCAGCCTATTGCCCCCAACAATCTGAGTCCTCATTTTACTGATCTCGGAAGAATGGAAAGCTGAGTTGAGTTAACCTCAAGTCCTGTCAGGATTGAACTCCAGACTGTGGGCAGAGTTAGTCTGCAATACTGCATTCTACCCACTGCACCACCAGGGCTCCACCAGCAAGCTGGCTGGGGAATTATGGGAATTGAAGTCCATATATTTTAAACGGCCGAATTTAAAAAATACTGCTCTGTAATAAGGATTACTGGTAGATCTACAGTTTGTATATGTGAATATCTGTCTGTCTGTCTGTCTATCTATTTTCATGCACAATAAATATAAATGCATTCCACATAAAAATGTACATCCCTACATACAGTGTAGACTGTAAATCTTCCATACAACCAATCCTAGCTTAACATAATGCTGAAATAATGAAGGAAACCAAAGCTGTAGTAATCTTAAAATCCTATTTGTTTTCACAAATAGGTCCTGCCTTTGGATAAATTATGTCCTGTGCCTGCCTCAAACATTTTAAGAAATCTTGGTCAGACTGGCTTACTCTCTACTGTTTTGAATAACATTAAAATAACATTTTAAAAATAACATTTAAAAAATATAAAACTTACTATGTACAACAAAGACTATATTCTATATCGTCCTTTGAAAAATAGAATAGAATAGAGCTGGAAGGGACATTGGAGGTCTTCTAGTCCAGCCCCCTGCTAAAGCAGGGGAACCTATACTATCTCAGACAAGTGACTGTCTAGCCTCTTTTTAAATACCTCCAGTGATGGAGTGCCCACAATTTCTGGGGGCAACTATTCCACTGGTTAATTGTCCTCACTGTCAGGAAGTTTCTGCTTAATTCCAGGTTGCTATTCTCCTTGATCAGTTTCTTGTCCTGCCCTCTGGTGCTTTGGTGAATAACGTAACCCCCTCTTCTTTGTGGCAGCCCCTCAAATACTGGAACACTGCTATCATGTCACCCCTATTTCTTCTTTTCTTTAGACTAGCCAAACCCAAGTCCTGCAGCCATTCTTCATGTTTTAGTCTCCAGGAAAAAGGTGCTTAAAAACATGGATGAACTAAGAGTATTAATTGATCTAATCATTTCAAGTACAGAAACATTTAGGGATGAGGTTTGACCCAACTGCTGCTCTGAAGATTGTATAAAGAGTGAATTAATGAGAACAAAATCAGTGGTTAGCTGAGCAAAAGCTTCATTTCCCGTTTAATGGTAAGATTTTTATTAGCTCTTTTTAATGCACCTAACATGTATGAGCACTTAAGATAAAATGAAACATACCCATCCTTGCTATCTGTAATATGTTGTCTTCTCAAATAATATTTTTTTTTCAGCAGGCATTCTGTTTATTATAGCTACTTAAAAATCCATAGAGAACTGAAGAATGTAGATAGCTTTTCTACCTTTTTCCATGAAGAAATGTAGAAATGACTGCCTCCTCTCTTCAGAGGTCCAAACAGATTTATTCTGGTGTCCTTTTACGTGGAGATTCTGGTTCAAGTATAGCGTCAATTCCTCTTGAACAGTACAGAATATCCATGTTATATATATGGGGATAATATGAGTCATCGTGAACTTCTATGCTCTATTATTTTTTAATACCAACTGCAGAGTCTCTTGGAGCAGAATAAGGGACAAGTTTTTCTTTTCCTAAGCCTGAAGATGTTTATGTCTTTGGCTAAACATTTTACTTAGCTTACTCGTGCTAGACCACAGAGTGCTAGACCACAGGGTGGCAAAAGACAGGCCTGAGCTGTTGCTGTTTTTATTATAAATTTCTCCTCTTATCATCACTGAGACTTAGGAAAACGAGAAATAACACACAGAGAAGGAATCTGAAATATATGAACGTTGGTATATACTACATTTTAAGGCTTGTGGACTTCAACTTCCAGAATTCTTCAGCCAGCCATGTATAACAAGAAGCAAACTCTACCTTTTTGTTCTTAAGCTCCTTGTAACCAATTGGTTCTATTGATATGAAGACTCTAAATGTGTAGAAAGTAAGCAAGAAAGGCCTTGACTGAAATAGGTAGGAACTGTTATCTAGGCAAAATCAGATGAAATGTTTTTTTTTTAAGTCCAGAACAATGAGATAACATTCAGAAATTGTTCAGCCAGAAGCCTCCTTGATTCACTGGATTATAAGAAGAAGGAGAAGAAGGTACAGGATAATCAAACTTGAAGATTTATGTCAACCCTATTAGGTAAATCAGATCTGAAAATCAACTCCAGAGGAAGGTTAAAGCTATTTTTATGGAGATGAGCCATAATAACAGAATCTTGCAGGGGTGTGTGTGTGTTCTGGATGATGGGAAAAAAATATCACATCAGCAGATCCATATTATGTGTTAGAAATAGCAGCCAGGATTCTGGATTTTCAGAACAAGATTTATAGGCTTATTAATATCAGTAAAGGCTAACATCCTCGACTCTTATAGGTTGAGTTCTGGAGGTCAGTGAGATGGGAACTAAATGGAACAGTGTTGAGCTCTTATGATATGGGGATGCTAGGGAAGGCGAGAATATGGTAGAATGGGGAATAAAGGGTATAAACTGAAATAGCTTAAGAAGGGAAGCATGATTTTCTAGGTGGGAAGCACTGATCTAGAAGAAAGATTATCTTCACGTCTCAATAGTACATGAATCATATTGAATTACTAAGTCAAACTGTCTGAAGAACTACAAGTAGCCCTCAATTTACAAGCATTCATTTAGTGATCGTTCGAAATTTAAAGCAGCACTGAAAAAAAGTGACTTATTATCATTTTTCACCTTACAACCTTTGCAGCATCCCCCATGGTCACGTGATCAGAATCTGGGCACTTGGCAACTGGCATGTATTCATGACAGTTGCACAGACCCAGGGTCATGTAATCACTATTTGTAGCGTCCCCAAGGGGGGGGGGGAAGCTGGAGTCACTTAGCAACCACATGATTTACTTAAGTGCAATGACTCATTTAACCACTGTGCAAAAAAGACCATAAAATGGGGCACAATTCATTTAATGACCATCTTGGTTAGCAATGGAAATTTTGAACTCAATTGTAGTTGGAAGTCAAGGGCTACCTGTAATTGTTCATTGGTCAGATTATGTGATGTGAGGCTCCTTCCTAACATATTCCTGTATCAACAAATACAAATATAATTTCTTCTACGTTGATAATACTTTTTCCTCCAACCCCCCAGCCCTTAGATGAACACTTTAAAAAGCATAAAAATCACATAGCCCTCTTGATTCAAAATTAGCATTTGACTGATGAGATTTTTCTTCCCGTACCAGATTTAGTTTAGTATCCCAACAACTTATACTTGGAGTTCATGGAATTCTGAGAAGATTCCATGAGGGAGCAGAAACTAGGAAAAAATAAGAAAAGAACTTTAAAAGTCGTCCCTTTTGTGTGTTGTTGGTTGTTGCTCAAAAGAAACAGAAACCATTTACCTTCACACAGATCAATGGTGCTAAAAGCATTATTAGTCGTGCAAGGGGAGAGAATGAACTGAACTAAAAGTTGTGAGAAATCCTCATTCTTTGGTATTGTAGCTGTTGAGGTCTCGGTTGCTCTGTTCCTTGTTCTTTTGAAAAAACTGCATAGGCACAAATTAAAGACAATCTTCAACTTTAAGATTACTGAGTTGTCAAATGAAGCAGCAATCCTGTTTGGCTTTTCCATTCGTTTCCTTTCTTGTCAACCCTTTCTTTGAACTCTGCTTCCTAAAAATGTCCCAAGATGTCTGTCAAAACACAGTGTGTTATCATTGGTTTATTATTTTTTTCCTGACGTGTTTCCTTGTTTTTGTTTGTTTGTTTTTTTTAAATTATTATTCATTTTTTCTTTTATTTTCCCCCCCTTAAACGGAACAGTTTGTTGCAGAAGAAATAGGTGCAGAAAAAGTTTCTTTGGTTTCGATTAAGTAGTACATAAAAGAGTCTCAAGTGTCTTTAAAGGATCGTTACAGCATTTGGCTTGCTAGCGAACACTCAAGTGGTGTTCGAAGGAAAGGGGCTATTCACTGGTAAATGTGCACATTGCGTTGACCAGAGGAACTCTGATGAGGACAATAGTGTTTATGCATCGGTAGGTGAGCATGGTACCCTAGTGCGATTGAAAATTAGCATTGCTACTTCACTTGAGAAACTAATCTCTTTCAGCTCCCTGGGAAGGTGAGCTGAAAGAGCCATAGTTTGACCAACATTGTTGGCTAATGTATGCAAGAACTGACAAAATCGACAATGACAACAAAATGGTAATGAGATTAGGATATAGACATTATGATGGTCTTTGGTTTGCAGTATCCTGCATCTTTGGTGTGTTGCATTTCTCTGACATGAAGTGATAAATGAAGATGGTTTTTTGTCCATGGAACAGGCTTGGACCACACTTTTCAAAGAAGTGCGCCAATGGTGAGTGACAGTTGAAGGCATTTGCTTCTTTTTCCTGCTGAAACATCAACTAATTGAAATATAAAAATTATTTGGCAAAAAAAGAGGATATCCTTTATTTGGATAATAATGGTGTGGTGAAATTAATGGTTTGGTTTTATTTATTTTTATTTTTTAAAAAAACATAGATCTTTGTTGCATTTGCTCTTTGTGTGGTAGCATCTAAACGGGCTTCCTGAGTGTGAGTCTGCACTATGTACACATAGAAATTGTGAAAAACCTGCAAAAGTGTGCTTGAAACCAACATGTTCACTAACAACCCCCTCCCAACTCCGAGCACGTCCTAGAAGAACAGGCAAAGAACCCACAGCTGTTTACATCTATTGCTTTTGTGCTTGATAATTTGGCTTCAGGGAACCAAATCTTACTGAAGCTTGATCCTTATCCATAAACACCTTTTTTTTTTTAAGAAAAAAGCCCAAAAGGCTAAGTTGGATAATACTGAAAAGTATTCAGCATAACATTGCCTGAGTCTTTAAATTACAACCCAGTGTTCTTAGGTCTAGTTAACATTTGTGCTCAGTATTTGCTTATTTCTGTGTTTGTTTGCTTTGGTATACGAGTGTGGAGAATCTAAGCTTTTAGAAAATGGATGGAGTCAGCTAGGTTTGAACCTTCTGTAGTGAGCAATATGTTCAGTTAGGTGCCATTTTGTTGGCTGCTCCCTGTGGCCCCAAAAGTAATGAACTTTGCTTGGCTCTATCACACCATCTGTGAGTTAATCTAAGGCAGGGATATCCAACCTTGGCAACTTTAAGACTTGTGGACTTCAACTCGAAGAATTCCTCAGCCAGCCATGTTGGTTGGGGAATTCTGGGAATTGAAGTCCACGACTCTGCAAGTTGCCAAGGTTGGGTACCCCTGATCTAAGGCATGAGAGAGCACCTTCTGTTTCTGGCATGTTTAGCCTGCCTTGAATATACTTTTGACCTGCACGAGAAAGAAAAGACAGATAGAGAGAACCCCCAAAGCCTAATTCTCATCTGAATTAAATTAAACTGAATGCCCTGTGTTGCCAAGTAGTATTACGGTTTAGGAGAATTGTGCTTTCAAATCACCAGTGAAGGGCCCCATTAAGAATCCATTCCTTTTAAATAGATATTAGTTGAGTTGTGCCCAATTCAGATTCGGTTCTTTGATCATGCTTTGGTACAAGTGCTGGAGGTTGCCGAGGATCCCCCGGTGCTCAGATCATCCTGCCATTTCTCAAGACTCCGCCTCCTAGCATTCATGAAGAAGTTACTGACCGTAGTAAGTTCCAAGCCCAGCTGTTGTGAAATGGTGATCTGCATTTCTTTCGATGGACGTTTGTTCTCTTTGAAAATGGCAAAAAGTGTTCTGCGTTGGAGATCAGTGAAAACCAGACGAGATTTCTTCTGGGAGTTGTTTCTATCTTTGTTTGGTTCTTGCTCTTTGCGTTTGCATGCTTGGGGAAGGAAAGAGGAGAGAAAAGAAGAAGAAAAGAATCAGTGCGTGTATAGGAACCAAGCCATAGAGCAGATGATACACGGAAAATACCAAGGAAACTAGAGACTAGGTAAAACCTGTTATGGTAACTAGGCTTTGCAAATTGCAGAATCATTAGAGTCCCTTCTGATTGAAATGATTAATAATACAGACTGTGGACATCGATTGCAATATGTAAATATATTTCGGTTAATACCAAATATGTGGTTACAGATAGTCCTGTAGGACAGTGGTTCTCAACCTTTTCTTCAACAACAGTGGTCCTCAATCTTTAAATATCTTTTGTGGCCACAGACCCCCAGGACTTAACCCAAGATTTAAATCTTTAAACATTTCTTCAAGCCTTCATGGATCCCCTGTGACGACATCATGCCTCCCCCCAGGGTCCATGACCACAGATTGAGAACTACTGCTGTAGGAGATGAGCAGGCTGAGGCTGAGGTTAAATGCATCATCAGTTTAGAGTGGTTGCATTCCAAGTCTGCACCCCACCCTGTGAATTCTGTTCATCTTATCTAACATCAATTTGGCTTGACTGCTAGTTGATCAGATTCTTGTGTAGAGGTAGCAAGAAATAAACTTTTAGTGCTTTGAATCTGACTCATACTCCTGATTACTCGTATCTGACAAGTCTTCAACTTACAATCAATCGTTAGGGTTAATCCTCGCACTTACGAACACTGCATATTCCTCACAGTCACATGATCATAATTTGGGGTTGGCAACTGGCATGTATTTATGATGGTTGCAAAGTCCTAGGTTCATGAGATCATCATTTGCAACCTTCCTAGCCAACTTCTGACAAATATAGGCAATTGGGGAAGCCAGATTTAATTAACAACCACATGATTCACTTAACAAATGCAGTTATCAACTTAACAACTATAGCAAAAGGGGTCATAAAATTGGATGTGACTCACTTGCCTTGTTTAGTAATAAAAATTCTGGACCCAGTTGTGGTTGTAAATTGAGGACTCCCTGTAACATGCAGGAAGTACCATCCAGGTAAACTAGATAGCAACATGGGATTGTACAATCTGTACACGTAGGCTCAGGATGAACAACTGTGTCTCTTTGCTATAGCCACCCCACACTCACTAATTTTAGGAATGTATTATTTCCCCTCCTGGAAGTCTTCTCCACACTGTGTTGTCCTGAAGGAGGTGGCAGGTACTTTGAATTCCTATAGGCATTTTCTGGGTCAGGGGTCCCCAACCCACAGCCTGTAGCCTACTATCGGGCCATGGTCCTTTTGGAACCAGGCTGCACAAGCAGCAAGTGAGTGTGCATGCGTGCCACAGCTCGACTTGCATGAGCGGCGGGCACTTGCACTCGCGTGCGAAACCCATTTCCTGCTGCTCACACAGAACCATCCCCTCTCCTCCCCCATCAGTCTGCCAAGCTGGAAAATTTGGGGACTGCTGTCCTGGGTGGCATACATAATATCAGCCTAGCTGCTCACTTTTTATAGAGTTAGTAGTACCATACAGTACATAAAAAATAGGAATTTCATATACATATAATCTTGTTTGATAATACAAAGAGAAATAGAGAGGTACAAGAAGTACAAGAAGAAACTGAGACAGAATTGGAGATGATTAATTTCCTTCTTTTTTTGCCAGTCATGCACACTTGGCCTATTGCCCTAAATTAATTTATAGTGCAATCCTGTGCACATTGACACAAAATAATTGGCATTGAGTTTGGTAGGGATTTGCTTCTCAGTAAGCACGCAAAGGTTAAGTTTGTTCTCTTAAAACTGTTGCTGGCCAGCAACATGATGAAATAGACCTGATTCAATTGTTAAATGATGTAAAAGCTAAAGCTAAAGCAGTCCCTGCGAAATTTATTTGGCTAGTCATAGCTGACTTTTGGGGGATGGTGCTCATCTCTGTTTCTTTGAGCCATTGAACTAGTACTGTCTGAAGACGTTTCCTTAGTCATGTGGCCAACATGATATCATGCCACAGTGCAAAGCCTACAGTGAAACATGGAATGCTGTTCCCTTTCCACTGAAATGGAACCTATTTATCTACTTGTATTTACATGCTCTTGAACTGCTAGGTTGACAGGAATTGGGACAAGTGACGTGAGCACACCCTGTTACGCAGTGCTAGGATTCAAACTTCTGGAATATAGACCTTCTCCAGCATCCTTTCAGCCACTGAGCCTCCTGTTAAATGATGTATTTACTCAGGGCTTTTTTTGTCATAGAACGCCCAGAATGGAGTTCTGGCACCTTTTTTGGATGGAACCTTGTAGGGTAGGCAAGGCGGGTTGTATGACGTGTGTGAGTTCCGGCACCTTTTTTTTTTTTAAGAAAAAAAGCACTGTATTTACAATAATGGGACAAACTTCCTTCCTTCTCCTAGTATCTACATTGGTCAGGAATATTATAAATTATGGCCAACACATATAAAGTTGAGGAAAGGTGTTCACACATCTTCTGTCCATATCCATATAATTGAGGAAGGGCAGCATAATATATTGGATACAATAACTTTTTGAAACTGAAGTGATAGTGCACTATATAAGTACTAAAATGGTCCCCATGAACATAAATTATCAGCCATATGCCTGTGTACATTACAAGAATAAGCACATAATGTACAGGAAAAGAAACTTAAAATAGACCTTTGCAAATTTAGATAGAAAGTACCATCACTTCAAATATTGTTTAGTCATCAGTCTGCATCCAGATTTTTTTTTTATCCCATGAGCATAAACATTCTGCTTTAGTGAAGGTGGGGGGGGGGGAGAAGTTATTTTTACCAATTTATCCTTTATCTGCAACTGCCAACATTGTCTTTCCCATTAAATCCAATTAAATGATTTGAATTGTCCAACAATGAGCTGAGATTTCTGAATAGAAGTTGATGAATTGAATTGAGTTGGATACTTTATTTGGCTAAGTTTGAATAGACACACAAGGATGTCAGTTAGACTTACTTTTAACTTCTCTTTCTATCTGGGAAATGCTATGCATGACATAAATGAACAATCATTTGGTATCTCATTACATCAACTAAACATGTTCGGTATCATAAACTAGTTATGATACTTCACTTTACCAGTAAGAGAAATGCACAGGTCGAGCAGCAACAAGCAAAATGTATCAGTCAATAATATGAAATTTGTAAGGATGGACCATATGAAAAGATGGACCATGTTCCCCATCAGACCCATATTTGATGCTGACATCACCACAAATCTAGAGAAGCCCTTTTGCCAAAGTGGAGGCTTGTTTAATGCCTTCTAAAAAATTCAAAGGGCTCTGAAATGCACTGAAAACAGTTATTTCAATTTAGCAGCTCAGACTTTCCACTAATATTTTATATCTACTTCTGTGAACTCAAGCATGCTTTGTCCCTTGTTCTTTCTGCTGTAGGATACTGAATAAAGGCCTCATTCACATATTCAATTAATGTACAAAGTTGGAGACAAAATGGAGCTATAGTAATATAATTCTCCCTCCTGTTCCCTTTGTTCTCAGCATCCAAAGCCTGGGCCAAATGCACATTTACAAACCTGAGATCCCCTGGATTGTAATCAAGAAGTCTAGTATGGAGCATCAGCCTTTTACAACCTGGTAACCTGCACCCAATTAAAAAAAAAATAGCCCTGAAAATTCAGGAAATAGCTCGATCTGAGATGTGGTTTGGACTGAACCAAGTTGCTTATCAGAATGTAGTTCTACCAACAGACTCAGAATTCCTTGGTCCTAGCTGTATGATGAATCTTGAAAATCTTTGCTTGATGACCTCAAGTCTTCCTTGAAATTAAAATTCAATTCACAGGTTGGATACAATCCTTAGGCAGCATCTGAACATTGTTTCTCTAGTGCTATTCAAGAAAAGTTCCAAAAAAATCTGTGAAGCCTAAGATTCATATAATTGTCCACAGTCTAGAAAGCTACAAGGCTTATGAACTTCCATGGTTGGCTATAGAATTTTAAGGGCAATATTTTAAGGGGAATATATTATATTGGTTGGATATCTGTATATTTTATCTTATTGTAAGTTGCTTGGGGTCTTTTCAAACTGTGAGATGGGTGGCAACTAAAGTTGATGATAATAATAGGTACTTGGGTGCAATCCCAAAACAATCGGAGCACCAATTGAACACCATCGGCTTTGACAAAAACACCATCAGTCAATTGCAAAAGGCAGCTTTACTCAGGACAGCTTACATCCCGCAGTGATACTTTTAACACCATCAAACATCCACATCTACCTGTCTCAAGTCCTTGGGAAGGATAGGTGGACAAACATGCCAAAACCAGCCTAAACATATAGTTGATTATGCAACAAACGCTAATAATTACATCCTTCCAATTCATTGCTTTTGCAACTTTCTTTATACCAGCTTTTCTCAGCTTTGGCAACTTTAAGTTGTGTGGACTTCCAACTATCAGAAATTTCCAGCTGCTAGCCCCAGTTGAAGTCTTCACATTTTAAAACTGAGAAACATTGCCTTATACAGACAACTATATGGCCATTCTTAGACACAACAGCCCCCATCGTGATCTATTTATTTCCAATTGCTAGAACATTGCATGAATAAATTTGGAGGAGCAAGGCCAATGCTACCATTCTAGTAAGGCTAGCAGGGAATCCCATAACAAGAATTTAAGTATCATTTTTTGAAATTCACATTACTCCAAAATTTGTGGTGCACTCAAATAGAGACAATAGTTTACAAAAATATCCTACTCTTGCAAAATGTTATCTACTGCTCCAAGGCACACATGAAAATGCAATTATGAGAAATGCATTTAAGAATGGAAAGAAATTTTCCATTTTCCACTTTTTTTAAAGCATTGCATCAGTGCATCATTCCAAATAATATTCAGTAGAAATGAACAAGATACAAGTAGTCTTCAACTTACAACAGTTCATTTAGCAACCGTTCGAAGTTACAATGGCACTAAAAAAAACTGACTTATGAGAGAATTTTTGG